AGCAACTTCTTCGGACTTGTTAAGCTAATGGATATTTAAAGTCTGAATATCGACCTTTAAAGGTGGCAGTTAATGAACTTTGGCTTGCCCCCTCTAAACAGATTGCTTACCTCAAGTAAGAAAGAATTCTGTGAGGCTGGACTTAATACTATTACATGAAAACATGAGGAAGATTAGGCAGACTTATATCAGAGCTAAATGTTTGAAGGACGACAAGACTGTGGTGAAGAACTGTTCAAAGAGCCATTAAGAGTAACAGGAATGAGAGTAAGAAAACATTCAAGCTGGAGACAGACGAGATTCTAGACGCAAGATCTTTGTCTCCTGAGGAAAGCATTAGAATTTTCAACAACAAATTTCCTATCTCAGCTAGGTAAAAACACTTTAGCTCTTTCTGTGAAGATCAGTTCTGCAGTCTCAAAACTAGAAGGTGCCCAGTGGTCACCACTAACGCCAATCAAACAAGAACAATAAATCTATCAAGAAAAATGAGGCCTCTTGCTCTTGGCAACTCTCGAGCATGCTCCCCGAGACAGCAAAAGCCGGAAGAAACGTCCAGGCTTGCTAGCACAAGCAAAAATGTCTTAATCCTAGCTAATCTGCATTTGACTCTGAAGTTTTATCATGGCACCTACAAGACAACCTAATGCTCGTTCCCATGTTACCAACTCTTTTCCTCAAGATCACAGTTCTGAGGTGACCCTTTATTTCCTCCCTTCCCCTACAAAGGGTCTAAAATCCACTGCTTTCTTATCCTCAGAAACCAACGCAGGGGATCTTGATCGCGCATGGAAAGATGCTGCAACATACTTCTTCCCCATACCAATTCACTATTAAAATTTTAAAGCAAGCTCATTACTCAACAGATATTCCATCTCTGACTAGGGCAAGGAAGAATGTTCAATATTAATAATCATGTGCTATTATCTAGCTGATGGAAGATAGCCTATTCGTATGTGAGAGTCTCTTTAATTGGACAGTCTCTTCAATTTGTACGGCCCACAAAAAATTACATCTGGTACGGAAGAGACTCTTGCTCTCTTTATGAGCAGGTCTTTAATGTGTTAGGAGGTAAAACATTTTCCTCAGAAGTGTTTTTTATCAGATTATCCTTAATGATAACAGAAAGGGGAATCCTAGGGCCAAATGACTTTAAGAAGCATCTCATCTGATTTTTCATTAGGAAAAATAAATTAGATTTTTATAACAAGAGTTATCTTTGCTTTTTTGGAAAGGATGGACAATGATCTTATCCTTGTTTCCCTTTAGAGCACTATAGAAAAAAAAGCCTACATTCGATAGCCACTCGTGTTTCCTGTATTCCAGTGCGAGCTGGCAATTATTCCTATAAACACAATCTTAAAATCACCTCAAACTATATTTGAACTACTTGTTGAAACACTTGCGGCACAGTAAGATTTCAGCACGCAGCACGCACTCCTTTTACATCCACAGAAAGGTCTTTCAGTAGATGCCTTCAAATGTTTTGGATTTGCTTGTTTTTTACCATGAGAGAAAGGCCTTAAAATAGGCAGGTTTTCGCAATATCGCATTGTGTATGCTTCAGAACATCACCTGCATAGTGCTGAGGTTACCTGTTAGTCATTACAGCTGCACCCGGCATCAGCCGAGCACCAACACCCACAGCAGCGTTTAGTCAAAAGTTGTGCCAAATCCCTGGGAGGACTTTTACTAACGATGCCATGTTACAGAATCAAAACAAAGTCCGGCAGAAGACTATGTTTAAGTGCACTTCATTTGAACCAAATGAACCGGCACTAACATTTTTTTGGACTCCAGCAGCTTTAAGATGGGTGTCACATTCAAATGGCTGTCACCGAACTAAGCGTTCATCACACAAACCTGAATTTTCAGAGGATGGGGGGGGGAAAAAAACCCACGAAATTAAAAAAAA